AGACACATCGCCAGATCTAGGTATTATGTTTGAAATTTTTATTATTTTGATATTAAATTCTTAATTTACATTTGTAATGTAATGATATTTTATATTCCTAATATATGATTGCAGACAATGCTTGTGATGGATTTGGTGATGATGAGATCAAGCACGAGATGATGTCCGGATCTTCTCAGTCATTGATGGCATGTCTCCGCCCATGGACTCCATCAGTATATGACGTCCCTATGCCTGAAAAAGCTATTGTATTACAAAAAAAATGCGATAGGAACTACAAAATGAAGAGAGATGATATTAAAAGAAAGGAGTGCGTCATAAAACAGAGACAGATAAAGCTATAGCAGATCTAATGAGGGAAAAGGGTAATAATGTCGTGTAAACTTTAGAGATTTCCTACTTATTTATTTATTTAAGTTTATATAAAATTTATTTCTCTTTGTATTTGTAGGCAAAAAAGATTATGAGAAACCTAGTAGATATGGGAGTGAGGAAAAGACAAAAGTACCTCCGAAAGAGTACCGGGCCATTTTGGAGTGGAAGGGCAACATTCCTGTTGGGGATTGGGCCGTCAGATTTAATAACTTGATTAGCTGTTTAATAAGAGATCCATGCTCCATTAACATTGCTCATAACTTTGAGGAGAAAGAATTTACAGGCATAAAGAAGATTTGGGAGAAGCTCGTGGTAATTATTTATTATATTGCTTATTTTGTTTACAATTCACAATGATTATTCTTATAGTGTATTTTTTTGCCATGTAACTTGTAGGATTATTATTGTCTTGAGGACAACACAGAGTCTTGGGATTATGTTATCCCTAAAATGGCCAAGCTTATTCGGGGTTGGAAGAGTGATCTAAAGAAAAGATATTTTACAAAAATATCTACTGATTGGAAGAGAATCTATGAGCTTGATAAGAGAGTCCATCCATTTAATTGGATGACTCTCATTATCGAGTGGAGGGTGAGAAGAAGGTGGATTATTTTTAATTTATGATATTATCATCACGTTATTTATCATTTATATATTATCATCGTACATACTAATAAAGTACTTTAATTTGTAGAAAATATGTGAGACGTCGGCGAATCGCAGATCGAAGCTATACGATCACTTCTTAGGATCTACTCCTTATGCTCAGATCGAGTATAAGTATTTGAGTGAAAACCCGGTATGATCATATTATTAAAATTGATATCATGTGATTAGTTTCATACATTTAATTTGGAATTTAATATATCACAGAACGCTTTGACTATGCCCCGACTCTTCTTGCTAAAAGAGCTTATACACCTCCCTAGGGCTATGAAAATGTAGAGGGAAATTTCAAAAAAGTGGAGAAAATTAATGAATTGGTCGTAAGTTTAAGATTAATTTTAGATTTGTATATCCTCAATGCTTTCTTATCAAAGTTTCTAATTTTTATGATAAATGATATGCAGGCGGCGGTTGAAGCTTCTCAAAACAATGTTTTGACCCGTGTCAGTCAATCTCAGGGTACAGATGACACTCCTGTAGAGCCTAACCGCATAACCAAAGATGAGTGGATGGAAGTCATCGACGAAGCTTACGGATTACAACCAATAAAGAAAGGAAGAGTGCCTTTGTCAAGTGCTAGAGTTAAGACATTCACCACCACCAATAAGCCTAGCAGCCAATCTATGACCTCGACGCGACCATGTGACACGTCATACGTCATGGGTAAGATTGGAAAATACTTGTTGAAGAGTGTTAAAGCCTCTTTGGCTTTAAGTTTTCTTCCCACTATTAAGCACGAGTTAGGCGATGCACAGACGACCTAGGATGTCGTTCGGCGACTCATCGATTCTCAACCCTTAAAGGACTTGCTTCCGTAGCCTATGTACATGGATATCATGGAGATGGCATTTGATGAGCATGCAGCTGCAAGTGGTGGAGAGGTATATATGTCATATTATATATGTATTTATTATGAATATTTTAGAATATATTTTTATATTGATTTATATCTTTTTAGGCTAGAGGAGGTACCGTAGGAAGTAGTAATACGGTATGGTATTTAGATGCAGCCACCACCGACGATAGGGATCATGATAATAGGAACCAAGAAGACTACGATGAATGAGTAGCGAGTTAGAGTTTTTTGTTACTTTTGTGGACTTTTGAATTGTGTGGAACATATTATGACCACTGGATTATATATATATATATATATATATATATATATATATATATGAATCGATGAATGATGAATGTGATTATTGTTGGATGTGAATTAATGAATGTGAATATTGTTAGATGTGAATTGATGAATGTGAATATTGTTGGATGTGATTCGATGAATGTGAATATTGTTGAATATATTATGAATATTGATAGCAACAGGTATACATTCCCGATTGGAGGGCTCAAAAAGCAGTAATTTTTTTTCCAAATTACATTCTTTAGCGACGGAATGGTCCGTCTCTTAAACATTGGCGACGGAGTATTTCGTCACCAATGTACATACATTGGTGACGGCGGCATCTGTCGCCAAAGCTTATTGGCGACAGCGTAGGACCTGTCGCCATTGTTTTCTATCGCCAATGACTCTCTGTCGCCAATGAATATTGGCGACGGATGTCCCCATCACCAATGTTCATTAGCGAGTGGATTATTGGTGGCGTTACCGTCGCCAATGCTTATTGGCGACGGGAAGCCCCACGTCGCCAATAAGCTTTGGTGACGAGTAGATTTCCGTCGCCAAAGCTTATTGGCGACAGCGTAGGACCTGTCGCCATTGTTTTCTATCGCCAATGACTCTCTGTCGCCAATGAATATTGGCGACGGATGTCCCCATCACCAATGTTCATTAGCGAGTGGATTATTGGTGGCGGATTATTGGGCATCACGAATATTCATTCGTGACGAATTTGACTACATTGGCGACGGATTTTCCCGTTGCCAATACCCTATTTTCTACTAGTGAATTGTCAATATTCCATGAGTAGTAAATAAATGGTTCACGTAACGATCATCCACGCATTATAATATTGGAAACTCATGTGCAATTATAATTTAACATTACAAGGAATAGAAAGAGCAATGGAGTTAAAATAGAAAGTTAAGATCAAAAGCCTAATATATCAAGTTTTTGGTAAACTATATTTTTTTTTGGGCGGGCGATTTGGGCGATTTGGGCGACTAGGCGATTTTGAAGATTTGGAGATCTCTGTTGTGGCTTCGGCCATGACGGATCAGGAGAGTAATCCAGATCCCATATTAGAAGAGATTAGAGCCCCCTCCAATCCAAATGATAGAGTAGAAGCTAATTCTAAAGAAGATCAAGATTGGATCAGAATTGTTCCCCGTCAAAGAAGGTATCGCAAACCTAATTCAATATCTTTTGAATCTAGATCTAATTCCGTTTATCGAAAGAATCAACTTCATGAATTGAGAAAAGATGCTGGAAGGATAATATCATCAGAACCCAAATCGAACTTCACTATGCACCAGAGGCCAAGGAATGCTGAATCCATCAAATTTACTAAGGCTGGTTCTACATCTTGGAAGGATGTCTGTACTATGGGCAGAGAAATCAGTCAGAGCTGCGCTTTAGAATATTTTCCTCCTTCTATTGATTACAAAGGTATGCAATATGCTTCTATTCCTAGATCTGAGATTCTCCTTAATGTAGAAAAATGGAATAGATTCTCCTGAATGTAGAAAATTGGAATAGTACATTAATTGGGTATGTTCTTGGAGACAAACCTTTTTATTCTCATCTTAAAGGGTGTGTTGGCCGTCTTTGGAAATTAACATGTTCCCTTGAAATATTCTCTAGAGAGAATGGTTTTTTTCTTTTTTAAATTTGGTTCAAATGAAGAGATGAACAAAGTCTTGAATGGTGGCCCTTGGTTATTTGATGGAAGGTTGATTATTCTGAAAAAATGGACTGAGAACTCAGGCCTTGAACGTGAACTCCTCTCCACTGTGCCTGGTTGGATCAGGTTTCCCTCTCTACACCTTAAACTATGGTCAACTAATATCATTGAGAGAATTGCTAGTCTTGTGGGTATTCCTCTATATATTGATCAAGCAACAGCTTCAGGTGAGAGATTAGCCTATGCTAGATGTTTTGTAGAAATATCCTCAAAAGCCAAACTTCCAAATTCTGTTAGATTGGATTTAGGAAATGGAGAGTGGTTAGAAACAAATGTAGAATATGAATGGATACCACCAAAATGTAACAAATGCTTAATTTTTGGTCATGTTGAATATCAATGTCCTGTGGTTCTAGTTGAGAAATGGATCTATAAAGAAACTCCTATTGAACCAGATATGAGTATTAATCCAAATCAGGATGGTGCACAAGATAATCACAATACCAACTCAGAAAATTGTATTATGCCTGATTCAGATTTTGACTGCCCAAAAGAAATTCAAAGTACAAATTCAAATAAAGTTGAAGCTACCAACTCACTTTCTTCAGGTAACACTGCTGGGAATGATTTAATTGATGGAAATTGTAGTCAAAAAAATAAGAATTTTGTTATAGAGGAGATATTTCCACATACTGATGAAAATGGTTTTAAAGACAAGATAATTGATGAGATTACTATTGATGAAGTCTGTTCTGATACTGAGGTCCATTTAGAGAAGGAAAAGGATACTCATTATGTTGAGAAACAGGACAATCAAAATATATGACATTCTCAAGAGTTAGTAGAAAAGAGTAACTTTGAGAAAACCTCCAAAGAGACCACGGATACAACAATTCCTGTTATGAAGAATGCTGCCTCTTATCAATCTGGAAAATCAAGCCTAAACAAAAACAGTTCTGAAGTTATTGATTCATTACTAGAAGGAAGTGGTAAGGCGAGGTAGTCAGATATAGATTTTCAAATTTCCATTGATAATCCTGAATGGTTAAGTGAAAAAAGTCAGTTACAGATGAAGAAGAAAAATCAGGTTAAAATGCTGAAAGACTTATCTTTGGGTCCTAAAAGAGTAACTAGGGTCTCCTCAAACAGTAGCTCATGACAATGCTTATATGGAATGTTCGTAGCATGAATAATGTGGGAAGGAGAAGAGATATTAAAAGACACATTCATTCTTTGAAACCAAATGTTGTTGGTTTGTTAGAGACTAAAGTAAAATCAGCTAAAGCATACAGAATTACAAAATGTATTCCATCTCACTGGTCATATTGCAACAACTATACTGCTTCAAATAAAGGGAGAATATGGGTAGCATGGGATGCTGATGTGTGGAATGGGACAGTGATATCAGTTACTCTTCAGCAGATTACCATTAAACTGCAAAACATTGGAGGTTTCTCTATGATGTTGGGTGTAATATATGGTGAGAACTCAGAACAAATTAGATCTTCTTTATGGACTGATATTAGAAATATCTCTGCTCAGCTTAATAATCTGCCATGGTTACTTGTGGGAGATTTCAATGTTTGTAGATTCACTTCAGAGAAAATTGGAGGAATTAAATTGAATGCTAAAAAGCTTAAAGAATTCAATGACTGTCTTCAGATTTGTGGTCTTTCTGATATCAAAAGTACTGGTTCTTCTTGGACATGGCATAACAATCAGGAAGGAATAGGCAGAATTTATGGCAAATTGGATAGAGCTCTGGGTAATTCAAAATTATTTGATAAATTCCCTCAAGCTTATATAGAGTATAAATGTACCTCTTCTAGTGATCATACTCCAACAGTTGTTCAACTTGTGCCCCTTACCCATACAGGACCTAAACCTTTCAAGTTCTTTAACTTTTGGACACAATGTAAAGGATATGAGGAGGTAGTTAATAAAGTATGGGTCAATCAAATAGCTGGCTTTCCTATGTTTGTGTTGGTTTCCAAGCTCAAATTCCTTAAAGTTGCTCTGAAACAATGGAATAAACAGGCTGATTCTTCACCTAAAGCTAATATCATCAAATTATCTAACCAACTGAATATCATTCAAACTATGTTAAATCAGGATATGGATAATGTGGAACTACAAGCTACAGAATCTACATTGAATTTTGAGCTTAATGGTTGGTTAGATAAGGAAGAGATGGAATTGAGACAGAAGAGTAGACAGTTATGGTTACAGCAAGGGGACAGAAACTCTGTTTTCTTCTATAACTCTATAAAACATAGGATCTCTACAAACAGTATCAGGTATCTTATTGATCAAAATGGATCCCCTACTTCTTCTGTTGAAAACATGAAGCTCGTTGCTCCCAAGTTTTATGAAGAACTTTTTAATCAATCTTCCTATTGGAATGTTTTCCCTAAAATGACAGTGAAGAAAATCCTTACAGATGAAGCCAAACAATGATTAATTAAAGAGGTTAATGTTAAGGAGATTAAAGAAGCTCTCTTCCAAATGAATCCAGATAAGGCCCCAGGACCTGATGGTTTTAATGCTTTTTTCTATCAACATAATTGGAGTCTGATTAAGGATGATGTGGTCTTAGCAGTGAAATCCTTTTTCTCCTCAGGTAAAATTCTCAAGCAAATAAATCATACATTTCTCACTCTTGTGCCAAAATCTAAAGATGCCTATTCAATTCAAGATTATAGATCTATATCTTGTTGTAATGTCATTTATAAAATTATCATAAAGATTCTGAGCAATAGATTAAAGTTGGCTGTGGGGGAGCTGATATCAAATAACCAACATGCTTTTTTACAAGGAAGACAGATAGGTGAATGCTCATTATTGGCTCATGAATTATTAAGGGATTTCTCAAAGAAACATGGGAAGAGAGCTTGCTTAAAAATTGATTTACATAAAGCTTTTGATAGCATTAACAGGGAATTTGTCTACTATATAATGCACTGCATGGGATTCCCTGTTATTTGGATTAATTGGATTAGAGAATGTATCTCTACCCCTTCTTTTTCAGTGCTGATAAATGGTTCTTCATCTGGTTTTTCAAAAGCAATAGGGGTATCAGACAATGGGATCCCCTATCTCCATATATTTTTGTTCTAGTGATGGAATTTTGGTCTATAAGCATGGAACTGGCTACCTTAACAGGGAATATTCAAAATTTTAAGAAGAATAAAGACCTTCAAGTTTCTCACCTCTTATTTGCTGATGATATGCTGGTCTTCTGCAGAGCAAATAAAAGATCTTTTCAATGTATTAACAATCTATTAGACTCTCTGGCAATTAACACTGGTCTGAATATAAACAGAAGCAAAAGTAAGGTTTTTTTCAGTAGAGGTTGCAGAAACAAAAATGAATTATGCTCTATAGTGGAGATTTCAAGAGGTTCTCTACCTGTTAAATATTTGGGACTGCCATTATCCATCAATTATCCTAAAGCAAAGAATTTTTTTCCTCTGATTGATAAAATCAGGTATACAATTGAGGGTTGGATGACTCACTCATTATCTTTTGCAGGGAGGCTTGAGCTTATTAAATCTATTTTATTCAGTACTACTGCTTACTGGTACTCCGTTTATAATTTCCCTCAATCTACTATTCAAAGTCTAGAAGCTATATTTGCTAATTTTCTATGGAAAGGGAAACTTCATGCAATAAATTGGAAGGAGGTATGTAGACCAAAACATGAAGGAGGTTTTGGTCTAAGGAAGTTGGAGGATCTCTGTCGTGCTGCTGCTTTAAAAATGATATGGAGACTTCTTAATAACTCTACACTATGGACTAACTGGATGACTGTCAGATACATCAAAGGAAAAAGCTTATGGGATGCCCCTGTAAATATTCTGGATTCTGGAACTTGGAAGCACTTAACAAGGCTTAAAACTACAGCATTGAGTTGTATTAGAAAAGCAATTGGTAATGGTGAGACTACTTCACTATGGTTTGATCCTTGGATCCAAGAAGGGAGAATTATAGACATCCTTCATAATTTTGCTCCACATATCTCAGGCACAGGAAACTGGACGGTTTCTCATATCATTAACAATTCTCAATGGCAATTTTCACTACCAGGTCTCATCCCTCTGAAGCAATCTATATCTAATATCCAAATCTCTGGACAGGAGGATCATTGGTCTTGGCTACCTAATCCTAAAGGTAATTTTTCTTTTGCTTCTGCCTGGAATCAGGTTAGGACTTTATACCCAAAATTTGAGCTTTTTAATGTGGTGTGGTTTCCTTGCTCTGTTCCTAAGATGGCCTGCTGCTTGTTTAAAAGCTTACTTAATAGACTAGCTACTAGAGACAGACTTTTCAGATTTGGGATCACCTCGACAGAAGATTGTGTTCTCTGTACTGGTATGAAGGAATCTAGAGATCATCTATTTTTTCAATGCCCTTTTTCTGTCTATATATGGAAACTCTGTAAACTGAAGTTGCATACCGATGCCATGGCAATTCATGACCTGAGAACTGAAGCAATAGAAACACAAAACAAATTCAAAGTGAAAGATAGAACTTATATTTTGGCTAGATTGGTTTTGAGTGCAACAGTTTGGCATATTTGGCAAGAAAGAAACCGCAGAATATTTCATGATCAACAGATGCATAAGGTTATGGTTTTTAGAAGACTATATGAAGACATCAATGTTTTAATCAGAACCTGCTACTGGAAGTCTGGAAACAATATTATACTATCAAATTGGGGTATTGATGCGAGTAAACAATGAAAATTTCAGATGTTTGGGAGCTGGTTTATTTGTAATACTGGTTGTACATATTTGATTGTATGGCTTTAGTCATGCTGGTTATCTTTCTAGGTGGCTTAGTTGAGGGTGACGGCCAGGGTCCTCTCCCCTCTCTACAGTTTATTTAGTTAGATACCAGTTTTGTCTAGCCAATTATTTATCTCTTGTACTTGGTTTTAGTATTAATGAAATTACTTACTTTTCAAAAAAAAAAAAAAAAAGTTTTTGGTAAACTTGATTCCCAAGAGGAATATTTTCTATCGGGCCAAAAGTTAATGATAAAGAAAGACACGTCAGACAGAAAACATATTGAGAAAGCATCTCTATCCTCGGATGCTTTTGGCATCCATCGATTCGTATTTTCAAATATGAACGCAATCCTCCTTCTAAATATTATAAATTATAAATATCATAAAAGAACAGATTATAAATATCATAAAAGAACAGACGCAGATATCCCTCCTAACTTAATCAAGAAGATGACACTCTTGTTTCGTCTTCTCCAATGTTAGGATACTGATAATGATGGATAACAAAATTATTTGCCATGACTAAAGTAGTTAATTAAAGAATGCATATCTGTCTAATCTAATCTAATGTAATTAATCAAATCTTATTTAATACTATTATAAAAGTGTTAAAATTATTATTTTTTAAATGTCCTCTAAAACACATACATGCATCATAAATCATGTTATATCCCTTCAAACCAAATGCCCATACATACATACATACATAAACTATAACCCTACAAATTCCTAGCATAGCCCCAATCATTTAAAATCACATCCAATCACAATAATTAAAGGGTTTAGATATAGCGCAACTATGTTATAATGATTATTCACTATAGTTAGATATATCTATTTTGTACTAAACTTTATATATTAATAAATTATATTATTAATTATATTCACTCCAAACTTTATATCTATACTAAACTTTAACTGTAATGGATGTTTTAAGACTTTATATCTATATTAAACACAAAATAGAAAACCAGTGAGAAAAAAAGCCTCAGACCCATAACCTCACTCCTCTGAACGAAGTGACAAAGTAGGTTCCACTCGAAAAAGCACATGAAGACATATTATATTAGATTTTGACATTTTTAATTAATTACGATCTAATCTCTTCATTTGCCAGAATAACTGCAGTTGCAAAGGAGTTACAAAGCATAGAAAGAGGATGGGTTTAATTATGTCAGTTGCATGCAAAGAATATAGAAAAACCATTGCTAATCTAGACCCTTTTAAACTTCAAATTTATGCTACCTTACACTTAGTTACACTATGTAAGATGTTATTCTCAACTTCCATTTCATATAAATGTTCATTTAGCATTCTTCTTATAAACGTCCATCAATTCATTTATAAATGTGTCCGTTCCATTTGAAAATGTCCATACATGAATGAAAAAGGTCCAAACTTTTACAACATATTAAATATAAGTACCAAAGAAAATTTGATTGGCTTGAAACCCGAAATTGTCTTTGTACTAATGCATAGATGTCGTAAATAATGGGTTGGAGGTCATTCAACGTCCTCAGTTCGATTTTATACTAATGGTAATATAATCAATGGATATTTCTTCTATTTTGGTTTGTAGTGACAGGATGCAAAATATTTTCTTATCATATTCTCTCTGATTTAGTTGTGACCTTCAATCATAGTTGTCGAGTTATTTTTTGTTGTATGGAAGAAGGCTAATGGTGAAATTCTTGCAAGGTGAGACGCTAGAGCGTTATGAGCTTCTTTTTTTCCCCTAGGATTATTATAGTTATCTCATTTACTTACAATTTTAAGAAACTTTCTAAATTTATGGATTGTTATTGATGAATAATGATTTTGATACTTTAATGGCTTCGTGACAATTCATGCTTCAAATTGGGATATTAGACGATAGAGTTAAGTTTTTGTATGGAAGAAGGGATGAAGTTGCAATTTTTGCTTGGTAAAAATGCTATGAGCTTCTTATTTGTTCATCTTTTATATAGTATCCAAGATATGATGAAAAACGTAGACGGCAAGATTGCTAAGCTTCTACAAAGTTAGCACAACAAGTTATTGATTAGTTTATTTTCCTAACACATATTATCAACAAAAGCAATATTTAATATAAGGTCTTAGACAATATAGATTAATATATAAGACATTAATGAAACTGTATTATGTTAGACCCTAGAGGAGGGGTGATTAGGGTCTTATGCTAATCTAATTCGATTTAAATGCCAATTAAAATTAATTAACAAGATATCCTAGCAAGAATAAAATGCAATAAGATACATTAGCTAGGATAAGCAATATGAACAATGAGATATATCCTATATGATAAAATATATATAAACAAGGATATATAAACTAACACAAGATGATATATCCTACCAAAGAGATATATAATATGATATATGCAAGGATACGAAAACAAACACAAGGGGTAAACAATATGAACTAGATAGTGGATCATATAAATAATGAGACAATGGCGAAATGAGCAATGAGCACAAATAAGAATAAACGCCAAAGCACATTCAAACACACAATATGATCACGGAGTTCGGACCTTCCGTCCTACGTCTCCGCTCCCCACTCCCGGGGAGAAATCCACTATCAACCGGGTTTTCTACGTTCACCCGGATAACGTTTACACCTCACACTCGGTTTTCTAGCTAACCGAAAACTTTACAACAACACACTA